AAATGTTTTGAGAAACGATGTACAAATGCGCTTTACACAATTGATGTGTGTATGGATTGGGATAACAGTTGTACGAGCCCCTAATAAAATGTTAAACAACAAAAAAAAAAGAAGCAAAGGTTACTATCGAAAGGTTAAATTTTGGAAGCAATCGGACTTTGATTCCAATCTCTCGCTTGGAGAGTGCCTAATAAATGGCAACTCAATATTAGCATGTATTAGCTATTTTCTTACTCTGTGTTCTTGTGGCATGTCCAGCAGGCACAGTTCTGCCTTTGTTAATTAGTGTTATTGAAAGGTTTACCCTATCTCCAACTGCACTCTTTGCATAAATAATAGATTTATAGTGTTCCCCAATAAAATGATAAGAATGTCTCTAAAGTAAATAAGGGACATTGCTAAGCCCTAGATATATGAATGGATTTTGAGTTCACTATAAGGGGAATTAGTTCTGATGCCATGCCCCTACTCAATACTTGCTCTCATGAAGAGATTACTGAAGACATAGATGCTTTAGCAAAATGTGCTGAAGAAATCAGGTAGTTCCTGGCTATCTAAAAGAATAGCATCGGGGGTCTTGAAACAAGCAGCCTTCTAAGTGATGTGTCAGCTAAGTCCACATGGAAGAAGCACATCACCTTTGTGACCCAAGGACTGTAAATAATAAAATTCATGACTGGGGGAGAGAATGGTATTGGAGTGTAAACCCTGAGCATCCAGTTTGCATTGGGTTATGAATGACAGTGAAAGCCCCAAATCCATAGGTAGGGTCCCCACATGGATTAAGCCCCCAGTGAATTCCTTCGGACCACTGATTAGGGGTGTGAAGAACATTATAATCAGACAGAATGCATTAGAAAGTGGACCAATACATATGTCGTTAAGTTAAAATTTAGCACCTAATCATTTGTTCTCCATTTTGATCCATTTGAAATTTGTCCAAGTTTTTAATATTTTCTGCTTGCTTTTTGGTTGATGTTTTCCTGTTTTATTTTGTTATAGTTGTTGAGGTTTTTTTGTTTATTTATTTATTTGTATATTTTTTCTGCATATGGGATCCAGAATAGACAAATCTATAGAGACAGTAACTGCATTGATAATTTCTTAGGATTATGTCAGGGGAGGTTGGGGGAAAATGAGGAGCTAATAATAATAATGAACACAAGAAAGAAGAAAATGTTCTAAATTTGATTGTGGGGATGATAGCACAACTCTTCTGAAAAATGATCAAACCTTTGAACTGTAAGATATGTGCATTATGTCAATAAAACTTAAAAAAAAGATAATGAAAGGAATACACAGAATCTCTGTACCCCAAAGAACTTGTTGACATTTAACCATTTTAATAGGTAACATAGGATCACAAACAACAGAGAATATTGTACTTCAAGATTGATTTGTAATGTCCTTTTCAACAACAAATGCCACAGCATTTCCCTTGATGGTGTTTTTCCCAGCATAGTAAATTATATGATTTTCTGATTCAAAATGCCCAATACCAGTTCATTTCACCTCACTAGTGCCTCAGATATCAATCTTTATGCATTCCATTTCACTTTTGATGACTTCCAATTTTCCTAGATTCTTACCTTGCATTTTCCAAGCTCCAATCATTGGCAGATGTTTGCAGCTGTCTCTCCTGACTCATGAGCATCAGCAAGTGAAGATCTTGAAGGCTCCACTCTCACAGGCTTTTACCTGACTCAAGTCACCATGCTCGATTCCACTCTGAGAAATCAGCCCTTTCTCAGTCACATTTTGAGAGCGCTCCGAACTGAAGGAGCCCAACCTCCTCCACTATCTCTAACAATGATCTACTTCCATTTATTAGGTCTTTAGTATCTGACAATATTTTGAAGCTATGCATAAGGTTTGCAGCAGCTAATACCTCTGAAGTGGGTTGCCAATTCCTTTTTTGTTGTGTGTTCTCAATCTGGAAGCTTTGCTGAAACTTGTTCACTTTTGGTGACCCTGCTGGCATTTGAAATCAGTGACATAGCTTCCAGCAACATCCAAACCATCACAGTAGGACAAACTGACAGGAAATCCAGTCAGTATAACTCATTCAAATTTATGCACCAACCACACACAATATCTAGTGATGCAGAAATTGAAGAATTTTATCAACTTCGTCAGTTTGAAGTTGATCAAACAAATCTGAACTTGGTGACAGTAACAAAGCTGGAGATCCATGATAGAATTTTTTCAAGACCAACTACTTCTTCATAGCAAATACCTTTTTTTCGGTTATGAGTCTGTTGAGTTTCTCAATATCTGTCTCCTTTAATTTGAATGGGTGATGTGTTTTTGAGATAGCTGTCCATTTCTTCTAGATTGTGGCATTTATTTCAATACAGTTTTCCACAGTGGGGGGTTATTTTTATTTCATTTGGATCTGTTGTAATGTCACAATTTTCATCTCTTATTCTGGGCATTTTCTTTTTTTCAGTTGTTCAAATAATTATTTGCCATCCTACATTTTTTACTGTAGTTGCTTAGTTCAGTTGTAAGGTTATGATTCAAGTATTCAATTTTATAAGTACATCAGGGTAGACTTAATTGAGAAATATTATAACACATACAGAAATGATACCATGATACAGAGTATTCCATTTGTTCCCTGGGTTTAAGCTAAGCAGTTTGTCAAGCCAAGGAGTTCTTGTTGGTTCAACCTCAGAAACTTGGCATTTGGAAACAAGGTTTGAGAATATTTAAATTTCTCAGCAATAAAGTAGGGTATATTCATGCTTTATCAACCATATCGAAGGGGGCTTCAAAATGTTTGTTCAAAAAAAAACCCTCTCTTAATTATATTTTTCCATGAAGGTTTTTTTAATCATATTATTGGGGGCTCATACAACGCTAATCACAGTCCATCCATTGTGTCAAACACATTTGTACATTTGCTGCCATCACCATTCTCAACACATTTGCTTTCTACTTGAGCCCTTGATGTCAGCACCTCATTTTCCCCCTCCCTCCCCGCTCCCCCTTCCCTCATGAATTCTTGATAATTTATAAATTATTATCATTTTGTCATATCTTACACTGTCCATGTCTCCCTTCACCCACTTTTCTGTTGTTTGTCCCCCAGGGAGGAGGTTATATTTAGATCCTTATAATCAGTTCCCCCTTTCTACCCCACCTCCACTCCACCCTCCTGGTATCGCCACTCACACCACTGGTCATGAGGGGTTCATCTATCCTGGATTCCCTGTGTTTCCAGTTCCTATCTGTACCAGTGTACATCCTCTGGTCTAGCAGGATTTGTAAGGTAGAATTGGGATCATGATAGTGGGGGGAAGGAAACATTTAAGAACTAGAGGAAAGTTGTATGTTTCATCATTGCTACACTGCACCCAGACTGGCTCGTCTCCTCCCTACAACCCTTCTGTAAGGGGATGTGGCACACAGATGGGCTTTGGGTCCCCACTCTGCACTCCCCCTCATTCGCTATGATATGATTTTTTTTCCCTTGATGCCTGATACCTGATCCTTTTGACACCCTGTGATCACACAGCTGGTGTGCTTCTTCCATGTGGGCTTTGTTGCTTCTGAGCTGGATGGTCGCTTGTTTACCTTCAAGCCTTTAAGACCCCAGACGCTATATCTTTTGATAGTTGGGCACCATCAGCTTTCTTCACCACATTTGCTTATGCAAACATTTGTCTTCAAGGTGAGCACACAATGATATGATTTTTTGTTTTTTGATGCCTGATAACTGATCCCTTCAACCCCTTGTGATTACACAGGCTGGTGTGCTTCTTCCATGTGGGCTTGGCTGTATCTCAGCTAGATGGCCACTTGTTTACCTTCAAGCTTTTCAGACCCTAGATGTTATATCTTTTTATAGCTGGGCACCGTCAGCTTTCTTCACCACATTTGCTTAGACACACATTTGTCTTCAGTGATCGTGTCGAGAAGGTGTGCATCATGGAATGCCAGTTTAATAGAACAAAGTGTTCTTGAGTTGAGGGAGTACTTGAGTGGAGGCCTAATGTCCATCTGCTACCTTAACACTAAATCTATAAAGATATGCACATCGATCTCTTTCCCCATCATCATAAATAAGCATATTTACATTATTCTGGGCATTTTGAGCTTTTCTTTCTCTCTTTTGTTGTTTGCCAATGGCCCATTTTGTCAATTTTTTCAAAGAAACATTTTGTCCTCTTGCTAATTTTTTCATTTTTTCCCTATATCGTTTATTTCTGCTTTGATCCTTATGATTTTTTTTCTTACTTTATTTGAGAGATTGCGTTTTTGTCCTTGTCTTGGAGGTGTGTTAGGGTGTTGATTTTGGATTTCTTCTCTTTTTTCATGTGTGTGGTGATAGCTATAAATTGTCCTCTGATTACTGCTTTACTGTAACCCAGAGGTATTGATATGTTGTTATCATTCTCATAGATCTCAAGGAATTTAACAATTTCCTCCTTTATTTGCTTTATTACCCAGGCATTTTTGAGTAGTATGCTATTTATTCTCCATGTGTTTATCTTTATTTTTCTGCTTGTTTTATTATTGATTTCTAATATTTTAGCTTTGTGGTCTGAGAAGATTCATGGTAGAAGCTCAAAATTTTTTTTAAACTTGTTGAAGCATGATTTGTGGCCAAGTATGTGGTCTACTCTTGAGAATGTTCCATGTGTGTTAGAGAAGAACATATACTGATCTTTGTTGGATGGTGCCTTTTGTATATGCCTATGAGGTTGTTTTTGTTTATTGTGTTATTGAGCTTTTTTTATGTGTTTATTGAGTTTGTTTCTTGACGCCCTGTCTTTCCTTGAGAGTGGTGTATTAAAGTCTACTGTTAATATTATCAATGTGTCTATATCTTTTTTTCAGTTCTGTGAGGATTTGATTGACATATTCCGAGGGTCTTTCATTGGGTGCATATATGCTTATTATAGTTATGGCTTCCTGAGCTGTTGTTTCCTTTATCATTATGTGACACTTCTTTCAGTTGTTCAATGAGTTCAATAATCATTCTTTATTTTGGTTAGGGGAGAGCATGAATGCAGTCCTTAACTACGACAAATTATGCAGCCGAGTTTCCCACATTTGGGGAAATGCAGAGGTCAGCACATCCGGAATACAATGGATAAGGCTCGCCCTGGGAAAACAACCTTTGTGATCATGGTATCTCCTCTGCCAGGTAAGTATTACAATAATCATTCTTTTAAGTTCTTTTTCCAGTAAATTGATAGCCTGTTCAATTTGAGGCATTACAGTTACGTCTGGTTGGGTTTTGGTTATTTATTTCTCTTGTTCTTTTTTTGGTGTGTGTGTGCATCGATATTTTCTGTTGTTTTCTTGACGTCTTGGAGTCTCGATTGGGGGTGTTAAGGAGGTGGTGCTATGTGGGAGTGGTTAACTATGTTAGGTGGTAACGTAGAGGGGTAATGGACAGTTTGTATTAAGTATCACAGTGAGAGTGTCAGATTAGGTGTTGGGGAGCAACCAGCAACCAGAAAGTAGAATAGGAAGTGTTAGTAGAAGAAGAGAGGAAGGAACAATAATTGGGGGGAAAAGGGGGGTGGGGGGGCGGGATTTTTAATGTTATGCCTATTTGCAATGATGGAGGTATGGGTACTAGTATTTGTAGGATAAAAAGATTAAAAAAAATGTAAGACTAGTGTCAGCTTTTGGTTTTATGAGAATGAGGATGAGAAGGAAAGAAAAAGCTTGACAAGAAGAAAAGAAACTAGAAAATAGGGTAATAGTGTTATGAAATAAAACTTTATATATTTAGATTAAAGAAAGGAACATTAAAGGAAAGGGCAAGAGATGATAGTTTTAAAAAATAGGAAAAATAATACTAGCATAATACACAAGACAGCTATTATTGTAAATTTGCTTGGGATCAAAATTTTTCCCAGGAGCGTTTGTCTATTTTGTGGGTGCAAACTTCTGGGTTGATGGTGTGTTAAGGGACTAGAAAACAAACAAATTAAATTGAGAATAAAAAGTAAAGTGATTTTATATATCTATCCCCCCATTCTTACATACACCTACAAATGGTGAAGTCCTGATTGAGAGTTAATTATAAAAAAATAGTTGTTTTAAAGAGTAGGAGGGCATAGGAGTGAGAGAACAGGGAGCAACAACAATATTTGCAAAAAGAGAAACTGGGAGGGGGTAGTCAGGACTGTGTGAGATCTTTTTAGCAGTTGGGGACAGTGTCTAGTAGTATGAAGTTTCACTACCTTGTGATCTTGTAGGGTGTCAGAGTAGGGTTGAGATCAAGGCTAGGGGAATGGTTTTGATGTCTGGCATGGCTGCAGGTCCTGTATTCTTGTGATAGAAGTTAACTCTTTTGAGAGAATAGACTTCTGGTGAATCGGGTCAGAGGGGATGGGATTCACTCTTTTTGGATGGTGAGGGTGACCAAGTGGGGGTGGGGGGTTGGGGTCTATACATACCACTTACCTAGGTGGCCTAGGATGGCAGAATAAAGCAGTGGCCTACTCAGAGAGCAGGTGGCTTATGTGAGAGGTGTGAGGTACAGCCGGGGACTGGGGTCATGGGACAGCTTAGTGGATAACTAGGTATGTGCACTGTGAGCAGCCTCTAGGCCTCCAGATTTCCAGTCTCTGTCTGAAGCCTAAACTCCCTGCTTGTGCTGCAGTTTCTGTTCATTTTGTTTTCCTAATACTTTGTTAATGAACTAGGTGTGTGTATTAGCTGCCACCCTTTAAAAAAGGGGGCGGGGCTTCAAATGAGCTGCACCTTAGGGAAGGTGTGCTGTAGATTTATTCCTATGTGGGATCAGTGGGCTGTGGATAACACAGCCTTCTATTGGAGAGTTAGGCCTGTGGGGATATCTACTGGAGCTCTTGGCCTGGGCAGAGAGCCCAAACTATTTATACTGTCATCTGTTCTGGGCTGGTCCTGTAGCACTATGTCCCTGCAGCTCCACTGCTTCTGCACTCAGCCAGCAAGTGCTGGGGGTCAGTGACAAAGGGGACTATTATTGTCAGATGTTGCTGCTCATAAAGTCTTCTTATCTTTATGCTGGTAATCCTGTGGTCTGGAAGTGATATTCCTCCCAGTGCTCCCCTGTGCTATTCCCTGTGGAGTCTCATGTGTGTCACTCAATCACCATCTTTCAAATACCTTTTGTAAACAACACAAAAGGTGACTATACATGTGGCCTTCCCCAGATGGAATACATAAAAATCAAGTTGTCTACATCTGTGGGAAGAAAATATGGAGACGCTCAATAAGAGCAGCTAAAACCAGGCCAAGGGCTGACTGTGGAACAGACCATCAATTGCTCGTATGTAAGGTTGACGCTAAAAAAAAATTAAAACAAGTCCATGAGAGCCAAAATACATCTTTGAGTCTATCCTGCCTGAATTTCACGAACATCTCAAGATCATATTTGATACATTGAATACTAATGGCAGCTGTGATGAGCTGTGGGAAGACATCAAGAAATCACAAGGAAAGCAAAAGTTCATTAAAAAGACAGGAAAGAAATTGTAAGGTAATTTTGGCAGCGGCGAGAAGAAAAAGAGCAAAGATAGAAAATAGTTTTAAAGGTTTATTTCAGGACTCCCAGACGAGGTTCACGGGTCCCTAGTTGGGGCCAGAGAAGTTGCACTGCCCGGGAGGGAGAGGAAGGGTTTTATAGCACTGGTCTGTGGTAAAAGCAGTTTGGGGAATTTCCCATTGTGGGCTGGCTGTTTTGCAAGGCAGGAAGGTAGTAACAATGCTATCTGGAGCTGCCATCCACCTGTGTTGGGATATGAAAGGTCAACAATAAGGGCTGTTGTACACTGTCGTCAGGGTATTGTTCCACCTGACGGTCCCACCAAATCCAGTTTCTTCCTAACACTCCAATCTTTTGGTGATAAGGGGCTCTGTAGTCTGTCTGGCTGCTTCTTGCTGGCATGGGGCATTGTGGGCTTTAGATACTGGAGCAGGCAGAAGGAGGGCTGGTGGGCAAGCAGGTGTATGAGTGGAGAAGAAGGTGATTCACTGTGACCCTGGACAGGTCTTGTATGAGCTGCTGGATAAATCTGAGAAAGCATGGAGCTAAGAGAAAAAATAAAGAGATAAGGATTAGTGGTCCTAGTTGGGGCAACAGGCAGGTGGCTAAGGGGGATTGCAGCCAGTCAAATGGGGAGTAATTTTTCCTTCCATGACTGCGGAGGTCTTCGCTTAGGTGGGTTAGCATTTCTATGTTTTGCTCTATTAGCCCTGATTCATTGATGTAATAACAGCACTCCTCCCTGAGGAAGAGGCAAGTACCCCCCTTTTCAACATTTAGAAGATCTAAGGCCCATTTGATTTGTAGGGAAAATTGTGCCAGAGAGGTGAGCTGGTGCTGTAATGAGGCTAAGAAGGCTGAGGTGGACTCCAAAGAGATCTGCAATCAGTCTTCTAAATCTTGTGCTGAGATCATGGAGAGGCTGAGTGCACCTCCAGCTATTCCAGATGCTGCAACTGAAGAGGCTAGGCTGATGCCTACCATTACAGGAAGGAATGCCGCTCTCCTTGACCTTTGGACAGAGAGTAACCATGATAACTCAGACTGACCATACAGGGTGACCTGAGGAACTATGATAACTGGAAAACAAGGTCCTCTTGTGGAAGAATTTATATATTTAGTTAAAGTTCCATTGCACCAAAAGAATTGCCTGGGGTTGGAGAAAATCTGAGTATTAACAGATAATATTATGTTTGCAAGCTCTATACAGAGAAAATCCAACTACATTCTGATCTGTGAGGTAACAGATTTGCTGTGGCTGAGTCTGATTTACTTTCTCTAGCTCCCATTGTTGGACCTGACTCAGTGGAGTGGTACATTCTGTTAGGGATGCTTTTGTGGGAATGAACCTACCAAAGTTGACAGGGACTGTGGCTAGCAGAGGTCTTTGGAGGGAGGTGTACAGGAAGCAATGAGTAACCTATTTAAGCTCATGGCTTTGATTAAGGAAAAGATGAGTATGTTGGATTATTTGGACCCACGGTGACAGGGCAGTATTCTGAGATTTTTGAGGTATTTGATCTTGAAGTATTTGTTCTGCCTGGAGAATGTTGGCAGAGATTTGTACTGACACTACCGGAGGGGAGTGCACTGTATCCAGTATTGTATAGTTTGCCCTCTACCCATATATGGTCCCAAGGGTCACCTATACGGAGGTAGAATGTCCTATCTTGAATAAAAAATACTTTCCCTTTGTATGCGTCGTGTATCTGCTTGACCAGTATGGATACCCACCATATTGCTCAGGCCACAATCGATAGTGGGCCTGGTATTGGCCATATAGGAAGCAGGCAAACGGTCTATAATGAGTTGTGACTGCCTTAGGACTGAGGGGAATGACAAGTTCACTTTGGCACCCTTGAAGAGAGCAGTCTTTCTGCCCAATAAGATGGGTTATTTGAGTTGACTGTGAAGTGCAGGTTTCTTTGACTTTAAAGTGCCGTACATAAGAGTTATGGACTTCAACCATCGTTAGTAGGGTTATGACTACAGCTAAGGTGTATTTGAGTGGGTTCCAAAATCTGACAAACGTAGCGAGCCTCATAAGGATTAAGAGGGGGGGCGCTTGACTTGGGAAATATGGTGCCACCCAGGTTCACCTAAGAGTCTTCCTGCCATAGGAGTGTTAAGGATTACGATGTGTGGACCTGACCACCATGAGGCACCAAGTCTCTTGGTGGTAGCGCAGCTACCTGGGAGGTTTGGTCTGAGTCTTTGGGACAAGGCAGGTACTTGTCTGCGTGTTCCCAGAACAGCTGTCTTAAAAGAGAGAGATAAGGGAGGTAGTATGCTGAGGGGGATTCTTGGACTGGTAAGTGGTGGTTAAGTAGGAATAGTCTTCCATACATGAGTTCAAAAGGTTTAAGGAAGGTGAGCTACCAGGGGAGTCTCTAATGTGTGCAAGGGCTAGAGGTAAAAGTGTGACCCAGGACTGGTGGAGTTCTACAGAAAGCTTTGTGAGGTGATCTTTCAGGAGTCCATTAGCTCTTTCTATTTTTCCTGATGACTGAGGTCTGTACAGAATATGCAGCGTCCAATCTCTATCTAGGGCTGAACATACCTGATGAGTTGTCTTGGGAGTAAAAGCAGGCCCCTTATCCGATTGTGTGGAGGTGGGGAGAACAAATCTGGGAATGATATGGGTTATCAGGGTGTCTGTCACTATTTC